CTACAACCACCACTGCCTGGGGCTTGGTTTGCAGGAGGTGGTGGTATTACTTCCCATGGGAGAGAATCTCCCTGAGCTCAGGGCACACAGCCAGTAAGAGGTGTTGTCAGAGTTGGAGTCCAGGCTTTCTGTCCCCAGACTGGCACTCTTCCCTCTGCCACGCTGCCTGACCACGGGGTGAAACTTAGCCCGTAAAGCCTCACCTAGAGACAACCCTAATGCTCGGTTTGAATCCACTTTTATTCAAAGGGAAAAGAATCCCACCGACCAAGACACGGCCCCTCAGACCAGGGTCCAAGAAGCCCCTGCTGGAGGACGACCCTCAGTGCACCAGGAAGATCTCATCGGAGCCCACTCCTGGCGAGAGTAAGAGCCACTGGGCTGGGTTGAGGCAGGACCAGCCTGCTGCATGCTCAGAGACGGCCCCTCTCCTTCCCCACCTGGGCACAGAAGAGTAGAGTCAGGTTTCTTCAGCATTTTCAGGGCACCAAGCAGTCCTGTACCACTGGGCCAGAGTGCTTCCCAGGTACCCCCCAAGATGGTGAATGGAACAGAGTCCCCCTCTAGCCAGGCCCCTGGCCCCTGCTGCTCCTCCATCTCTACTCCTACCTCTAGTGCTTTGCAGGTTGGTGACAGATTGGCACATGCCAGTGTCTCTGGCATAGCCTGCCTGGCTTGGGGCTTGGCTCTTTGCTGCTGCCGCTGCCCCAGAGGGCAAGCAGGAGGGTGAAGGTGTGTCCTAGGTCCCATCTGTAGGGAGCCAGGTCCCTTCCCCAGCTCCTCTACCCCCACCCCCCTCGAGTTACTTACTCACCTCCCCTCCCTCTTTAGTTATTGCTGTGCGTGTGAAGGAAGAGCATCTAGATTTGGCCTCGCCCAACAAGGCTTCAAGTCCAGAGCTGCCTGTCCCCATTGAGAACATCAAGCAGGAAATGGACAACTGAGCCCCCCTGCCACCAGCCTGGCCCCTAGCTGGAAGCCAGCCCCCGGGTTTCTCCTCCACCACCACTGAGCCTCTGTATATGTAAATTTTGCCTGGTGCTGTGAAGACTGGACAGTGGAGGACCTGCTGGGGTCTCCTGGGACCCGCCTGTTGCCTCTGCGATCCCCTGTGGAATGGCCTAGGTGACTGGGGCTGCCTGAGGTCTTCTGCGAACCACCTCCAGCCAGAGTTCCCGAAGCTGGAATGCCAGCTGCCTGGGTGCCTGCTTTTCCTTAAGATGACCTTCCCACCACAGCCTTTAGTTCCCAGGTTGGGGCCACCCCTGTCACACTGGAAGACAAGATAGTGCACTCTGTGTCTGCCCAAACAACTCATGTAAATTAAGTTCCAGAGCAGCTCTCTGAGCAGCATAAGGTCCCCTGACAGTGAGTCGTGTGATGGGAGTAGCCTCTGCCTCAATTCACCAAGCAGAATGCCTCTCAGCCTCATGTGTTGGTCATCTGCCCCTCCTAAGCTCCCCAGGGATGTTGGGGACCCAGCTTGGCTGGGCAGCCGAGAAGCAGTGACCAGGATGTGGATTTTGGTGACCGATGTGGTGGCCTTGAGCTGTTTGCTGTGTTTGCATGAGCGTGGACTCCCATTTCCTAAAGGAAATGCCCCAGGAAGGACAGTGGGAGGAAGATGACGTGAGGGTGCACTCTGGCTCTGCGGCATGCTCCTGGAGCCCTGCTAAAAGTCATTCATCCAAGAGTCCCTTGTTAAAGGAACCAGTTCCAACTGGAGCCTCTGGGAGAGCTGGGCATGTATGCTGTCTTGGCCTTGTGTTCCTACCGGAATGAAGATGCCATGCCTGCAGGTGCCATGAACACAGGGCCCTCAGGACCAGGGTGACAGAGCTGGAGGACACATCTGGCTGCCATTGCAGCCTCACTGGGCTCCCCAGACTTTGTGTCTGAAAAATTAAATCCCCTACTTGCCTGAGTCCAGTTTGTTAGATTTCTGTTCTTTGCACAGTGTTGTGACCCACCACCTCATGGTGGTATGGATTATGAACGCCACGAGTCAAGACACGAGTGTGTGAGGCCACAAAGAATGTCGGCTGGGCATGGTCGGTGGCTCACGCCTGTAATCCCAGCACTTTGGGAGGCCAAGGTGGGTGGATCACCTGAGGTCGGGAGTTCGAGACCAGCCTGACCAACATGGAGAAACCCCATCTCTACTAAAAATACAAAAAAATTTAGCAGGCATGGTAGCACATGCCTATAATACCAGCTACTTGGGAGGCTGAGGCAGGAGAATCGCTTCAACCTGGGAGGCGGAGGTGGCAGTGAGCCAAGATTCTGCTACTGCACTCCAGCCTGGGCAATAAGAGCGAAACTCTGTCTCAAAAAAGAAAAAAAAATGTCCATGTCACCTGTCATCAGCTCAAGTTCCCTGTCTTAGCCACATACTGTCCTTATTTACGGTTCTGCCATTCTCCCCAAAGACTCAGCTCCCCAGAGATGGAGCCTTTGTCTGCCTGTCCCTAGTGCCTGGCACTTTGGCATCAAGGTGGCCTTGAGTTTGTGTAAAGTGGGAATGTGCACGTGACCATGTGTTGCTGGCACCTAGAGGTCAACTTGATTTGCCGGAGATGGACTATTGATCGCTTGAAAATTATGCTCAATGCACACAGCAGCCTTGTGCCTCAGTTTGCCCTTGGAGGGAAGTAAAGTTCTTGGAGTTGCAGCAGTGAGGCTGCTGGCAGGGAGCCATCTTGCAAATTCCTCATCCCTGCTTCTCCTGCCTCAGGACCCACAGGGGCTCCTGGTACTGGTAAGACCAAATCCAGACCCTTTAAGAACCTGCTCTGCACCCCTGGTCCTTTATAGTCAGCCCTCTGCTCCAGGGAAAGGGAAGCTAAGGGAGCGCCATTGTACCAAGAGCCGCTACCCACGTGCCAGGTTAAATACATATCTAGGC